AAAGATCCTAAACCCTTAAAGGAATCCTGAAAGATCCTAAACCGTTAAAGGAACCTAAGCCCTTAAAGATCCTAACCCCTTAAAGGAATCCTTCAAGATCCTAAACCCTTCAAGGAACCTAAGCCCTTAAAAGTCCTAACCCCTTAAAGGAATCCTTAAAGATCCTAAACCCTTAAAGGAACCTAAGCCCTTAACAGTCCTAACCCCTTAAAGGAATCCTTGAAGATCCTAAACCCTTAGAGGTTCCTAAGCCCTTAAAAGATCCTAACCCCTTAAAGGAATCCTTAAAGATCCTAAACCCACAAAGGATCCTCCCTTGGACCTCGAAGGACCGGTAAGGCGCCGTGGCCTGCGCTGATGCCAGGTTGCGTGACCAACGCGAGCTGGAAGCCAAGAATCGTTTGGAGGTTTAGGGTGTAGGGTTTAGGGGTTTAGGGGTTTAGGGTTTAGGGGTGTAGGGATCTTAAAGTGTAGGGTGGGGTTGAGGGCTTGGGGGGGGGTGCCGGGATCTTAAAGTGTAGGGTGGGGTTGAGGGCTTGGGGGGGGGGTGCCGGGATCTTAAAGTGTAGGGTGGGGTTGTTGGTTTAGGGGTGTAGGGATCTTAAAGTGTAGGGTGGGGTTGTTGGTTTAGGGGTGTAGGGATCTTAAAGTGTAGGGTGTGGGGTTGAGGGTTGAGGGTCAGGGTTTAGGGTGTGGTTTAGTGTTGAGGGTGTAGTTTGCCCAAGGTACTACTGTCACCTAGCGGTTTGAGTGGGGCTGTGTGAGATGGCATTAGGCATGTTCAGTGCACTTCAGGCTCCCTGTGATTCGCTGTTCTTTTCTCTCTCTGCCTCTATCTCTATTTATGATTATTTATATATATATATATCTATATATGTATATACAGAGTTGTATGTATGTATGTATGTATATATATATATACATATATATATATATACACACACACCTAGGTTTCATCATTCAGACTCCAGTGAGCTTGCGGGTGCTGTTCAGAATGCAGGGGCCCGACCCTGAACCCGAAATCCCAAACCATAGTATAGGTTTAGGGTTTAGGGTTTAGGGTAACATTGTATGGGCCATGGTAAGTAGAATAGGGCAGTCATGCAGGTTGAGCCGTGCGTTGCCGGCAGGTTAGGGGGTATTTTCGGGTAATATGTCGAAATGCAAAACATACGTTAAAAGTTGAAAAAGTTGAGCGGTTTAGGGTTTAGGGCTTTAGGGCTCTAGGGCTTTAGGGTCTCATTGTTTAGGGCTCATCCCGATGCTATGCCACCTGAATGTTTAGGAGTCCCGCTTTGACCTTTCAGAGTTTGATGGATTTTAGGGTGTCCAGATTATTGCGGCCAAGCCCTCAGCCCGAAACGCGGACTCCCTAAACCCTGAAACTACCTCTTCGAGTTCCTAACCCTTTGAAGAAGATCGACAACTCTAAGACTCCTCCATAAATAACTTTGGGTTTAGGGTTTAGGGTTTAGGGTTTAGGGTTTAGGGTTTGGGGTTTGGGGTTTAGGGTTTAGGGTTTAGGGTTTAGGGAGCAGCCCTTTGAATATCCCACGCCGCTTATAGTAGAGCGGTTATAGAGCCCTGAGGCAAGCAGGGTACCTACAACGGCGCGATTTGGATGACCTCTGCCGGGCGCCCAGGAGACTAAACCCGAGCTGAACCCCCTAAACCCTAAACCAAGATTTTGGGTTTAGGGCTCAGGGGCCTTCTTCTTGGGGGTTTAATTAGAGAGTTAAGATTTAGGGTTCGGGGTCTAGGCATAGCGGAAGCCCCAAATGCCCCAATAAGACGTATGAGTCATGCATGCATAACGCCGTGATTCTGGTTTTATGCGCTTAAATCTTAAAACCTCAGCGATGCCAGCTTCAGCTTGCTGGCTTACGGCGAGGCTCCAGAGAAACAGCGGCCTCTTGTTTAGCCATTGTGGCTGTAGGGTTTGCTTCACGCTCCCAGATTTAATTTAGGGTTCCGGGTTGAGGGCTTTAGTGTTTGTTTGAAAGTGTTGAGTCTAGGGTTTTGGGTTTAGCAAGTGACGGTTGTGGGACGAGTCTTCTATTTTGCCAAGGGGTGGCTTTGTTTCTTAATTCGTCGTGGTGGTGGAGGTAGGGGCCGTCAAAGTGCAATTGGCAATTCTGTCGCGAGCTGCAGTGCTGCTTGTATCCGTGGAACTAGCAGTACCAGTACCGTTATTTGCACCGTTGATACTGTTGTCGTGGCGACTGCTACTACGATCACCAGCACCACATTCACCCTTTCATGCCAACTGGTTCTCATGATGGTTGTCACTTTTACCTTTAGCTACTACACTTAGTGACTTAGTGTTATTGTTCTGACTATTAGTAGAATTGCTGTTATTGTTTGTTCTACCGGCTGTTCTTCCTACTACCGCTCATGTTGCCCACTTCATTCGTCACCATTCTTGTCTCTACTTCTGTCCGTCAGCTCCTTCCGCGGCTCGTTATCATCACTAGGCTGGGCCCGTCGCCTGCAAATCCGTGGCTAGCGGGCCGGATCCTCAGTTTTGGGAGCGTGCCTATGCAAGGGCCGGTGTGATATAGGTGCCTAAATAATTACCTACACTATTCTGGGGGGTTCCTTCTCATATTTAAAGTATAATGGACCCCAAACCCCATTAAGAAGACTAAGGCCTTATAATAGCCCTTATAGAACCCTTTAAGGAACCTTCTAAAGAACCCATATTCTAATTACTAAGGCCCTAGTATTAGCAGCGATCTTTTTTTTGTTCGGTTGTTTTGAGGTTTGTCGAAGACCGAAGCTCCAAACTCTTGCAGTGGAGTTTGGGCGCAGTTGAGAGTCCTAAAGGGTTTTGGGCCTAATATAGGAGCCTTAATAATTACCTATACTATTTTTTAGGGGGGGCGTTATTAAAATTATATATAGTAGACTATACACCAAAGCCCTATGCTAAAACAATGGCCCCTACATTAGTTTAATTCTTCCGCATCAACGGAAGCGGCCGGGTGCTCAGTAGAATGCCGTACAGACGCTTCTCACCTCAAGCTCTGTACTAGACCACGCCACAGAGACATGGGACATTGCACCCAGGCACGTACTCCCTAGCCTGCACGTCTTACAGCCACAACGCCCCCAGCCCCGACAAAACCTCGAAGCTTGAAAATACCCTAATTAAACCCTAAACCCTAAACCCTAACCCTACACCTACTACCTTTACCTCGCAGCCCCGAAGACAGGAGATGTCTACCCCTGCGGGGACCCGCAAGCAAGTTTCGGGTGCGTGTATCTTTCTGTAACTTGGTGGTTATAACGTCGGAGAAATTTATGTTGGGGCTTTATAAGACATGAGAGGGAGCTGCAAGGTAGTCCCTTCATATGCTGCCCCCCGCCACGCTCAGTTACATGAAGGTTCCTTATTCAGACAGGCAGAGATGAGCAACAGAAAAAGCACAATCATGAGTTTAGGGTTTAGGGTTTAGGGTTCAGCACCAGAAAATGGACAATCATGAGCACAAAATTTAGCACCAGAAAAATTCACAACCATGAGCACAAAATACCAGAACACAACACAATCATGAGCACAGAATTTGTCGAACATCAGCGTTCAGGAGGCGAACTGTCAGGCTTTAATTTGTACTTACAGAAAAGGCACAATCATAAGCACCAAATGTAGCACCAGAAAAAGCACTATCATGAGCAGGACAAGATTCAGCACCTGAAAAAGCACGGACATGAGCACAACATTTAGCACCAGAAAAATGCACAATCATCAGCACAAAGTTTAGCACCACAAAAAGCACAATCACGAGCACAAAATTTAGCACCAGAAAATTGCGGTTTGCTGGTGCTTTTTGTTGTGCTTCTGTGTGTGGTGACTGTTACTGAGGCGGGCCACATTTAAAGTACGTAGTCCCTTTCAAAATCTGCTAGAATGTATCACAAAGCCCTGTTTTATCGATTAAGGCCCCGAACCGTAAACACTAAACCCTTAAACCCTAAATCTCAGTGGAGACCCTAAATAGACCCTAAACCTGAAGTATTCTACACCCTCACCTCTGACACTTCCACCCAAAGCCTGCGGCGCCGTCTCAGGCCCATCGCCTAGGCTGAGAAGTGTGCTCTTCTCACAGCTTTTTTCGCTCTCCGCACCCAGAGACTCCAAGAGACTTTATCTTAACTTACCAAAACCTTTTTTTTTTGTTAGGGTTTAGGGGTTTAGGGGTTTAGGGTTTAGGGGTTTAGGGTTTATTGTGAATAAGGACCTACAGGAAAGCAGGTTCTGGTAGTTTCGGGTGGGGTTTAGGAGCCTCAGTATGCCTCAGTATCCAAGATGCCCCAGATGATTGTGCTCGTTAGGGTTCTTGGTAGTTGAATCAACAGGATTTGGGAGTTTCCGAAGATAAGGGGTGCCTTATTTTGGGATCCTTAGAAGAAGGATCCTACTATTTAGGGTACCATATTAGGGTCCCCTATTTTCGGAAACTCGCAATTTGGAGTTTCTGGGCAAGTGGGTAGATCCACACCTCCGGGTCTTCTTGGGTCCCAATCAAATCTGTGATGTACTTGCTAGGGTTGAGGGCTTGCTGGCAGACCCAGAGCAGACCCTGAGTTGGGTAACTACCAAAAAGAGGACAGACCCTGAGGAACCTTTGGCAGGGCTAAGTGAACACCTAAACTGCCAGAGTATAGAGGGCCCTCTGAATAGCAGGATCGGACCGCTTCAATAAGGGACCCTCACTTCGCTTAGGACAGAAGAGTAGGACGTAGGCTCAGATGATAAGCCCGGGAAAAGCTCGGCAAACCCTTCGGAGAAAAGCGCTCGCGACCGCACCGCCATCCTTTGCGTGTTTGGGGTTTAGGGTCTAGGGTTTAGGGTTCGGCCAACCGCAGAAGTTAGGAGGTTGAGACAAGTGGGCACCCCAAGATAGATCCCTAAATAGTAGGACCCTTCATGGAAGGACCTTTAGAAAGGGCTCCAAGCAGACACACGCTGTGTCATGTCGCAGACCCCAGAACAGCAGGTACAGGATTGCGTCCACCGGAATCGCCTGCCGCAATGCTGGCTATCTTGCCTTGGAGCCTTAAGACTCGAAAACCTTAGTAGCAACCGTAGAACCCTATAACCATAAGCACGAACCCCTGAAGCCTAACCACTAGCGGAGTTGTGGGGGGAGAGACGGAGAGACGTGGGGAGGCTAGTGCTATGAAGTCCCTGAGTCCGCGGCATGCCAGTACTGCTAAGCTCCCTTCTGACTCGCCAAGGGCATGAAGTTGCTCTCAGGATCTTTGTTTAGGGTTTAGGGGGGAATGCTGATTAAGGTAAAATGTGCTTATTCGTCAGTGGTCTTTGCTCCGTCAAGGGAATATGGGTCACAGGCGATATGGCGCCCCACGATCGGACATCTTGGTCGCATGACCACAACACCGAGAGAGATTGGAATCAATTTTGGTAAGGTGTAGCCCGGCAAGCTTGCAGACCCCGAAACTGGCATCCGTTCAGATAGACCGCAGAAAGAGCTATCACACCATATCGAAAGTCTTAAGGAAGCAAAAATCCTGATCTCTTCAACCCCAAACCTCGAGATTTGAGAAGCATGTCGAGAAAGATTGGGTCCAAAGCTGTGTGTCTAAAGGGGTTTCTTAATAAGGAGCCCTAAACCCTAAACCCCTAAACCCCTAAACCCCTAAACCCTAAACCCTAAGGAACCCAAGGCCTCAGTGGAGG